GACGTTGACGTTGACGTTAGCGTCGCTGTCACCGTCGCTGTCATCGTCATCGACTGCAGTGCAGTTCAAGTTCAATGTCAAGCGCATTTCGTTTTGTATTTGTTTGTATTTGTATGTGTGTGAATGCTTATGTGTTTGTGTGTCTGTATGTTTATATGATTATATTTACCTTATTCCAAAAACGTAAGACTTTTCTGTTTATAGTCCAATTTACTCTTTTCATTGTACTTTGTTTATGGCCTTATGGCCGACCTGCAAATTTACCTTTGATTCATTTTGATTTTCGTATCAATAAAATGTATTTTTGAAAATGATTTAAATTTGGATTAACTATAAATGAAGTCTGAATATAGAAATATTATGGCTAAATGGTTAACACAATCTTTTATGGCAGCTAAATATTATTTTCAATGTCAAAAGCAAGTGAAGAACGCAGAATATACCATGCGGTCTCTGACGCGTTTGATAGCTTCAGAGAAGCGTTTAAAGGAAGGGGGCGCGGCGCGGAGCGGCGAAGTTCAACATGCGTGTGCGTACGCTCGGCGGGCCTCACTTCGGCTTTGATGTTGTGCGGTTCGGGTCGCATGCTCGGCTTGCCGAGCTACGCACACGCACCGTACGCAAACACGTTGCGTGGGCCTTTTATTTAGCGCGTGCTCTCATCGTCCGGTCCCTCTGCCTCTGCCTCTCCCTCCATCTACCGCTCTCCCTCGTTCTGTCTCTTGCGCTACTCCCATGCTTCCTGCTCGCTCTTTCAATCATCTGCTAGAACTTTGCTAATTTCGTCTAATCAGTTAACCTTGAAATTTTGTTGTTGCTTTTGTTCCCGGTATTTGTTCTTGCTTCGCAATACATGCACACAACGATTCGTATGGTTTTGTAACTGTATTTGTATTTTTATTTGTGCCGTGGAATTTGCGCGCGTTGTGTGTATTAATTTATTTGAGGCTCGTTTGATTTCAAGGTGAAATACGCAAAAAAAAAAAACAAAAAGAAAAAGAAAAATAAAAGAATTATAAGAATCGACGAACAAATATATAATACATACATACATATATCGCAGGAAATTTGAAATAAAACAAGTATGCTTCAGTCGATAGCGCCCGATCGGATTATACTGTCTGCCTCTAGCTCTGTTCCTCTCTCTCTATCTCCAACTCTCCCTGTTGACTCTTAAAAAGCGCATAGAACGACAGTTTTATGCGTCTAGGTGCGTTTTTGAGACCATACACATAGTAGTCTAAGTCAAAATACGATCTCTGACTTTTCTCTAGCGATTATAGTTTCATTTGTATCGTTTATCTCTTCATTATAACTTTTATCCTTATATCTATATAATTTTTTTAAATATTATTACATGTTGCATCGTCGTTGACTTTGCATTTATCGATGTGTTAATTATTTTTATGTATTAAATTTCCAATACTATTGTTTATCGATAGATGACAATCTATTCTCAATATTTGTCATCAGCTTAAAAGTTTCTATATATCACACATACGCCATATGTCACAGTTGGCCTTTATTCTTCATTATATATTTATCGATTATTGTTATTTATCGATTATTGTTATTTATCGATTATTAGTGTCATTTCTTTGCTGCTCTTAATATTGCATATATTACTTATACGACTCATTTAAATATTTATTAATTGGCTGCGTTATCTGTTTATCGATTTTTATAACGCTTATCGATTTTACGAACTATTTTCCATGCCTCGTTTTTTACATTTTATTGCTTAATATTTAGTTTTGCATTATTTTCGAATATTTTTCACATATTACTCATACGACGCATTGCACAATTTCTTAATTTGTTACGCCTTCTTATCAAGGCATGCATCTCGCTCTACGCTTCTATCGATCTTTGTCTATCTTAGCTTTGACATTGACTTTGAAGATAACGAAATTGAGCATTCACCTATCTGCCTCTCCCCGCCTTCTCTTAGCGTCTGGCGCACTCTGACCATGCTCATTATTTAAAATTAGAATATATATATATATGTATATATATATATGTATATGTATGTATTCATATATATGCATGTGTGTGTGTGTAGTTTGCGTTCAGTCCCCCTGCCGCCTAACCAGGCTGTGCCTGGGCGCTATCTCAGCGCATGTTATCTACACGAGGCACTCAACTGCTCTCGCGCCCCTCGCGCTTATTTGATTATTTTGCCAAATTCATTTTGCGACACTTATCGCTCAAGGTCACGGGCAGAATTCCAAAAAGCACACACAGGCGACGACATTGACAATTATCGCCAGCAAGAAGCCCCATTAAGGCATGGAATATGACACATTCTGAAACAAATAAACTTGATACACTTTGCAGTGAAATGAAACAAATATTAATTTTTTGTTGTTTTTTGTAATTTCTGTTGATATATTTTAAATACTTATTTTCATATTTTATTCACATATTCCATACTGGTTTTTTTTTATTTAAAAACAAACTGCAATATTATTTTATTTCACAAATACAAATGTTTTTTTTTTGGTTTTTTTTTTTTGTGGAGTTTCCAGCTGGAGCTCTATTTAAATACCATATTTTGTGTGGTTGTTGTTGTTGTTGTCTTTTAAAAACTGTCATTGGCTCAATTCACAATTCTTAATTGTCATTGTGACTGATGAAAATATATATGTACTATGCATGTATGTCTGTACATATATGTGTGTATATATATACTCGATCTATATATATATAGATTATTAAATATGCCTGTTCAGTTGGAATACAGCTCACCTATGTTGGCTGCCTCTTTATGTTTAACATTTAAATTTGTTGTTAATTATACGCTTAATTGTCGCAATTTCATTGTTTCAGTTTGTCGCTGCATTCTGCTTGCTTCGCCTCGCTTAACTCTCTTTGGAGCTAAAGATAGACACACACACGCACACGCACACTAACACACACTCAGCCAGCTCTACTGGGTGTGCGTGTGTGTGTGAGTTCTTAATTACATAAAATATTCAGTTTTTCATACAATTCTTCTTCAGTTTCTTTGCTAAAATTTACGGACACTTACACACACACACAAACACACACACACACGCAAAAAATTGTTACACACATAGCTATGTACACATATGTATGTATGTATGCATGTGTATATGTATATAGTTATATATTATTATTGAAGTGTGATATTTTATTTTACTTTTGTTTCGCTTTTCTTCTTATAACCTTGCTCATAATATTCGACAATGCTTCTGCTTCTTCTTCTTCATCTTCATCTTCTCTGCTTGCATAAATTTTAAAAGAATATATTTGTATTATATATATATGTATGTATATATATATATATATGTATGTATATGTATATGTATATGTATGTATTTTAAATTTCATAATTTTATGCTTATTGTATTTTATTTTGTCAATCAAACAAAATTTTCATTTTTTTTTTTTGGTTTTTTTTTGTTTTGATATACATATATATATAAGAACATACGAAAAACAAAAAGAAAAACTGAAATAAAAAATATTTGCTTGCTGCATTTGGTAACTGAAAAGTAAAAACGAAATAAAAAGAACTCAAGATTTTGTTTTTATATTTTTTTTAAACAATTTTTCTTTTATTGATTTGACATAAAAATTTCTGCGCCGGTGTTGTTGTTGTTGTTTTTTCTTTGTTTTGTTTTTGTTGTTTTTTGTTGTTGTTGCTTACCACAAGAAATAGTAATTAGTTAATCATAAGAATTAGAATAATCATAATAGTACTGCATAATTATAATAATAATAATAATAATAATAATATTTATAATTAATGTAATAGTTTTTTGCTACCGCAAGTGTATATTATACGTTTTTAAATAATATTTATATCATATCGTCTCCTCTTCTTCATCATCTGTTTTTTTTTTTGTATTTTTTGCAGAGTTTTCTTTAACTTTTATTCAGCTGCTAAGTTTTTTATATTTTTATTTTTGTTTTTTTTTTTTTGACGCCAATTAAACATTGAATTGTTTAAGCATATGATTTAAATACGTTATCTTGTTTTTTTTTTGTAATTTTAATTTTAATTGTAATTTTAATTTAACATTTAACTATGTACACAACAAATATTGTTTTAACGTTGGGTTTTTGCTGCTAAAACTCTTTAAGCATTTTTTTGTTTTTGTTTATGTTTGATTTCCACTTGTCACATATATATATATATATCTTTAGCTTTATATATGTATTTATGTTTTAAGATTTAGCTTTAAAATTAGAAAACAATAATCTTAAACTTGTTTGTAATTCATAAAAACTGAATCGTTTCAACTTAAATTTACTTTTCAATTTCTCGCTTGTTAAAAAAAAACAAAATTTTTTGTTAACGGAGATCGCAAAAAAAAAGTTCACACCATTTTTTTTCTTCTTTTTTTTCAATTAATTTTTGGGGGCAACAAAATACGAAATAAAAATAAAAATAAAAATCGAAAAATTTATCAATTTGCAGTTTTTTCAAAAAACATTCTCAAAAAGCAAGTAGTCGAACGCTTGGCTTGCCTACATAATAATAATAGTCGTAAAAATATTTTAATTAATATGCGTAAATATAGTATGTACAACATGTTTGGCTTAGAACTAGGAAAACAATCGAAAGTGTTGGAAAAAAAATTGGAAAACAAAAAGAAAATTTCGACTCAATCAAAAATGGGAAAAGCGAAAACCGCTCGAGGCAAGTTGTTGCTGCTTTAACTGATATATATATATATATATATATATATATATATATATATCTGCTTTTCTTTTAATGCCTCGAGATTTCTGTGTCTTCTTCTTCTTCTCTTTCTCTCTTTCTGCTTTAATAATTAATAACTTTTAGTTTAAATATTTAAATTGCATGCATTTTGAAACTTTGTACACTTGCTCATTGTTTTTCTTTTGTTTTTCAATTATTCTTTGTGAATTTTGTTTAAAGTTAAAATAATTTAATTAAATTTGTAATTTTTCTTTTTGTTTTTCTTCTTCTTTTTTTTAATATTTTTTCTTTTTTGCTGGCTTTCTTCTTGGGCTTCTTACTCTGGCGCCCCTTTCTTTTTGGTGAGGAGGCGTGGCTGCTGCTGCTGCTTTAAGGAAATGTCGACCACGCCCCGCGCTTCAGTCTCTCTGCTTACGCCTCCAACATGACTTTGTGCACAGTTGCCAAGCCACCGCCGCCGCTGCTGCTGCTGCCGTTGCTGCTGCTGCTGCTGGTGGGCGGCGTGCTGCTGGGCGTGGCCACAGCCACCGCCGCACTGCTGGCCGCTGTCACAGTCACATCTGCGGACAGTGTTGGATAACGCTGCACAGCATTGGCGGCAGCGACCAGCGCATGCAGCTTGCTGGGCGGCGGCGTCGGCGACTTCTTGGACAGATTCAACGGCTGGGCCGGATCAGCTATGTCCACCTGCAGCTCAATCAAGGGCGAGGCACGCGGCGGCGCACTCACTATGCAGGTGGAGGTGGCCGCTGCAGAGGTGGCGTTGCCGCTGCCGCTGCTGCTGGTGGAGTGCGGCGACTGGAAATACTGACAACTGCTGCTGCTGCTGCTGCTGGAGGAGGAGCTGGATGAGGAGCTAGACGAGGAGCTGCTGCTGCTGCCATTGCTGTGCGGCGACACGGACTGCTGACGCTGCTGGCAGCTGGTGGTGGACCAGCGCACCTGCTGCTGCTGCTGTTGCTGCTGCTGCTGCTGCTGCAACTGTTGCTGCTGTGCAGCTGGGGGCGGGGAGCTGGTCGAGGGCGAGGGGCAGTGGCTGCTTGGACTGCGGCCGCCCGTCGTGCTGCTGGCCGCTGTCGCCGGCTCGCGCATCAAATAGTTCTGGATGATGTCCGAGCGCTTCATCTGCTCCGGCGTCATGCGCGGCTCGGCCATCAGGGACTTGGCCAGGACCGAATGCGTGCTGGCCATCGAGCCCAACTGCTGCTGCTGCTGCTGCTGTTGGTGCTGCTGCTGCTGCTGCTGCTGCTGGCTGGGAGTGTTGCGCGTCAGGTGCATGTGCAGCTGACTGCTGGCTGCGCCGACGGCGGCCGATGGCGGCGGCGTCTGCACCACACTGATGTGTGCGCTGTTGTGGGGCGTGGGCGTGGGCGTGGGCGTGGGACTCTGGCGCGGACTGTGCGCTGGCATGCTGGTGGAGCTGCTGGCATCGGCCTCGGCGGACTCGAATTCGCGATGCCGCAGAGCCCGGAACTTTTTGTGCGGCTTGTAGGCCTCGTCCATCAGCGAGTTGGTGTCGTAGAGCGGCGGCGCCTGCAGCACGCGCTTCAGCACGGGCATGTCCTCGACAATCTGGCGCTTCAGATTCGCGCTGCTCGACGGCTGCGGCGAGCGCACTGGCGAGACGGAGACAACGCCGGCAGCGGCGACTGCCTGAGCTGCATCGCTGCAGTCGAGCGCATCGTCGACGCTGGAGCGCGGACTCGAACAGGAGCTGCTGCCCCCGGAGCTGACGGCCTTGCACTCGTTCTTCTCGTTGCCCGACTCGATGCCCGAATCGGTGGGTGAGTCCAGCTTGCGATAGCGCGTGGCGCCCGAGGTCAGATGATGATGCAGCTGCGGATGCTGCTGCTGATGATGGTTCACCTGCTGCTGCTGCTGCTGCTGTTGCTGCTGCTGCTGTTGTTGCTGCTGCTGCTGTTGCGGCTGCTGCTGGTGGCGCACAATGGGCGTGATTGTCAGACCGTTCTGTGTGAGATGTGCATGGGAGCCAACGATGTCCATGTCCGCAGCACCCGAGTCGCCGCTGGAGCCCGAGTTGGCGCGATTGCGCAACGGACAGCCGCCGGAGAGTGTGGCAGCCAGCAAGGGGGCAGAGCTGGCCAACGAGGAGGAGCTGGAGGTGGAGGAGGAGGAGGAGGAGGAGGATTGGGTTGGTGTGCTCGCCTGCTGCTGCTGCAGCTGCGTGCTGCTGGGCGTGCCGTAGTCCAGGTCCGCTGACTCGGTGCTGGACACAGAGCCCAATGGGCTCTTGGCCGCCTCCACGTCCATGGCATCCCAGCTGCCGGCGGGACTCTTGCTGGCAGCGTCGCCCTCCTCCATGCTCCACATCTGCTGGCGCAGCAGCTCCTTGTGCTCGGTGCGAAAGACGACCAGCTTCTCGGTGTGCAGGGTGCTGAGGGTGCGCAGATCGGGCATGGTGTCGAGCAGCTTGGCCAGGAAGTCGGGCTGGTCGGGGCGATTCTGTGAGACAATGCACTGCAGACAGCCCTTCAGGCGGCTGTACATCTTCTCGATGAGCTCGAGGTTGCGCAGACCCGGACGGTCCGGCGTGATTAAGACGATGGCGCAGAAGAGTCCGATCTCCGCGTCCGTTAGATTCATCGAGTTCATGCGCTCTGCAAAGTTGAACGTGGAGTCGACCAGGAAGCGAGCATTCGCTCCATTCTGGATGGCATCGCGACGCATCACCTGGCCATTCAAGCAAATGATCGAGTTGATCGACGAGTCGAACATGCAAATGAGACGCACGAACAGCGCATCGAACAGACCCGCCTTCAGCAGCGTGAATTTGTCGTCCTGTGTGAGCAGCTGGAAGCCGGGTATCATGCCCGCAAAGTCGATCACGCCTCGTATGACGTGCGCGAAGCGCTGTGAGAACTCCTGCTCGGATTGCAGTTCAGGCGCGGGATTTAGCGGACAAGCCTGCAAGAGAAACGACAAGAAAATGGATTCCAGTTAGATTATATCACTTCTCATAGGAATGTGTGCACATTCCAATTGAAATATAATGCTAGCTCATCAAATCATTACAGTTTATTGCTTTTCTTATAAGATTACTTGATCGTTCTGATTGGATTTGTTTACGTTCTTAATCTTGCATAAATTTCCTGCTAATTTAATTTGTTTTGCATTTTACATTTATTGTTAGCATTGGAAATCGTTAATAACTATTTACGTTCGCTTTGCGCTAGTGTTTACTGTAGCCTGCCACACCTGCCGCTTTGCCACTTAATTGCTTAGCATGTGGCAAACTGTTGCATTTCCCACAACAACGTCATCGGCATTTTATAAGCGCTATTCACGCGAAGGTCACCGAACCGCCCTGCCACCAGCTCACCTCCTCCCATCGACCATCTCCTTTCTACCCGCTGCAATCAATAATCATAACTATTAGTACTTCCGCACGTCTCCCACACTCACACACGCTCAGCATACCCCTTCCAGCTAATACTGACTCAACTGTCGTCAAACGGCACATTTCCTCATACGTACACGCTAGAAGCTTTTCCATTACAAAAGCTCTGTCGACGTCAGCGCGCGCGCTGCTGTTGCTGCCGCTTAGTTTTTAGTTTCTAGGGGCGGTTTTTTGCGCTCTCCCACTATCTATCTATCTCTCTCTCGCTCGCTCTCTCTCTCGCTTGCTATGACAATTCTATTCGTAGTTTTTTTTTCTGTTGCTTTGTGCTTTCGTCGCCTGTCGCTGACATTAGCACCAAGGTCGACGAACTAGAGTTCAAGGTTCCGGTTAGTTGTTGTCGTTGCTTTTTTTTGTGCCCTGCGCGTGTGCCGGTTGGGGACTTAGATTGTCATTTGTGTGTGTGAACCTATTTACCACTGATGCCGTTGTTTTGTCTATTGCAAACCCTGGTTCATGTTATTTTGCCATTTGGCTTTCCGGGTTTTGAATTACATGCACGCGCCAGACAAACGCGAACGTGCCAAGCACAAAGCCCCACACCGACCGAACTACCCAGCCAACCCCTTGCTAATAGCCTTTCGTTGCTCTTGATTCTTAATTTATAAATTATGTTTCATTTCATTGTACATGCATATCTGTATGTATGCATATATATGTCTGTACCAACACGTCGAAGTATTCTGATTAACCTTGGGCAATTTTGCCGCCTCTCAAAATGCCGGCCCATCCATAGTTTGCGTCTTTTTCTCCCACACACACACAAACACACGCACGCACAGACAGACGACCTCTTCTCTCTCTCTCACTCTGTCTTCTGCGCCACTGGCCTTCGTCAAGTGCAAGCAAAAGCAACAACAATATGCCGGCTAACCGGCACAACAACAACGATAAGAAATTTCTTTTCTATTTTCTGCACCTTTTTACCGGCACTTTGCCGCTGACACTAACGCTAACGTTGACGTCGACGTCGACGTTAACGTCGCCTTCGACATGGGGATTCGTTGTCGTATCATTTTATAAAAATATATTTTTCTGTATATTTGCGTTTTATTTGCGCAAAAGCGGAAATAGTTTTGCAATATGTATAATAGCTTTGTCTGTGTGTGCTTTCTTTATAAAGTGCCCTCTTCTTGACTTATCCCCCCTTTTGTTAGCTGCCCGTCATGCGTATCACAAGACCTTCAATTTAATTTTTTGGCTGCCAGAATAATTCCTCGCATTTTTGTAGTCGATATAATCTCAAGTCTAATCAACAGTACACTAATTGCAATATGCCCAATACATACATATCTAAATATATTTACATATTTATTATACATATATAATAGACCCTTACACCTTGCACTTGCTTCCGCCTTGTCGCATGTGCAGTCATAACTCAATAGAATTTTGCATAGAATCCGCGTCTGGCGTTTCCTTATAAGCATTTCAAAATAATAATAAACCACCTGAATGTATTCAAATGAACTGCGTCGTTTTGCTTGCTATCCTACTCGCACCCCACTCATTCAGCCAAATGCAGTGCTTGCTCTCGCTCGCGCATTACAAATTGCTAATAATGCTTCTTGCTGTAATTGTTGCTAGCATTCGTTTTTCGTTCTCTCTTTGACGGCGCTTGTCGTAAAAAGTGCCGTTATTGTTGTTGTTGCTGCTTTTGTTTCTGGTCTGGCTTTTGCATTCGCTTCCTCATACTGATGACATTTACATTTACGAGTGTGCACGGGAAACCCCGGCACCCGCCCGTCGGTCCGATGCCCTGGCTAATGCCTAGTTCTATGCATATTTGTATAATTTTTATATATTATTATGTAAGTATTATTGCTTACTCATATACAAACATACATACGCAAGTAGTTCTATATATAATACCCGTATCAACTACATACCAACATGCGCAAAAAGAAAAAAAACGCTACACACAGGCACAACCATTTCATTCATTCCAAGGTTAAAAAATAACTCGCCACAAGGTCGTCTCGCGACTCGCATGCGAGCATTCTAACTGTGTGCCTATGTGTGTGTGTGTGTGCTTGTATGTGTGTTTATTCTACGCTGCAGACATGTGCAAATTATTCTTTTGGCAGCGTCACTTTATCGCGCGCTCTCTCACGCTCACTTACTCTCACTCTGCCATTGATCATATTTGTGTTCTCTTTGCATTTGTAAAAGCTCTTACAATGTCTTTGTTGTTGCTGCTGCTGCTTCTGCTAGAGCCTTGCACTTGACTTTGACAATGGAAATACTCTGTTTACTATCGCGCGCTTTCTTATCGCTAACTCATTAACGCAACTGTCTGATAACCAGCCAAAAAAAAACTAGAAAGAAATAGAAAGCAAGAAGCAGACGCGCTGCTCTCCTTTGATTATTTTTGAACGCCTAATTCGCCTTTATTTAAACAGCCGCCACATGTGTCTAAATACTTTCGCCCCCTTTTATGCTCGCCCTCTCGCTCGCTCACTGTTGTGCCATGCATTTGTGTGTGTGCGCGCTATTCTGTTCCATTAATAATGACGCTACGGCTGACCTTGAGCTTTGGAAATGTATTTTTGTTATTGTCGGAACACGTTTCTCGCCTGGTTTAACGTAGGTTTAGTTTTGTTGTTGTTGTTGCTTTGGTTTCCTTATCGTTCAGTTTGTGATAATGCTATATAAGACCAATAAGACTACTAAAACTGTGGCATATATGAAATACAATTCTTTCATTATCCTTACTGTATTTCTATGCTCCCCCTTTCTCAACGCTTTTGCTTGGCCGTTTTTATATCTATAGATAAGTATCTATGTTGCGCACTTGAACAATGACGTCACTTGTAAATAGTTTTTAGCTAGAGCTCTACATGCTAGTCGAGTCGAATCGAGTCGAGTCGTTGACAGAATTTACAACCCATTTATCATTTTGTTTGTCAGTCTGTCAGTCACTTTGACATTGACAGCTTTTGGCCAAAGTCAAGAAAGACACAAAAAAATTGGTTTTTAAGAACTTGACCCCAAAGCGCGGCGACGCTTCAATGCCCCGATCTATGGCTTTGGCTATGGCTATCTTTACGCGTTCTCTCTCTCGCTCTCTCACGCTCTCTCTCGCTCTTCCTATCTGTCTCTATCTCGCACGTTGGCCAAGCCGGAGGTCTTACAGTGAGACAGACGCAGCTACGTGCGATGCTTTTGATTTCCTGGTTTAGAATCATGCAAACTGGTTCACCTTGGCGTATGAGTAACGTATGAGCAGCCACCAACTAGTTTGTTGTTGTCGTTTATAATATTATTGTTGTTACTATTGTTGTTGTTGTTGTTTTTGATCTATGCATGCCAATAATAAAATGTGCCCGGAAATGTGCTTTGACATTCGCCTACGCAACAAAGCTCTAAAAGCCCAACTACACTCGAATTGGATTCCAATTGGATTACATTTTAGGTATTTGGATTGCTTAGATTCTGCTTTCACTTACCAGCAGGGTGGGCATTGAGTAGGAGGGGCAGTCTCTGGCGCGCTGTCGCATCGCCGAGACCTTCTCCTTGGTGAATTCGCATGTCTCCAGATGGGCGCGCAGCACGGCGGCGAGTAGGCGTGGCTGATCATCCAATTCGGTTGCCAGCGCTCGCTGTTGGCCGCGATTCTGTGTGCTCTGCTGCATGGCGGCCAAAATGCGCGCCTTCTCGCGCTTGGGCACGCGACCAAAGCGAACAGCTGCAATAAGAAGAAGAAGAGTTGCAAATTAACTATATATTCATATCAGTATAAGTTTGTATGCGAGTGTGTGTCTGTCTGTGAATATCACACTTCAGCGAGCAGGTGCAAGGAGCAGCTGTTGCCCCTGTTTGTCACGCAGGAAGTTCGTGTCGGTGTGTGAGTGCGTCTGCGTGTGTTCACTGTACAGGCAACTGTAATTTATGGACAGCCCTTCGAACTGGGTCATTGCCTGCTCTCAGCTGTCGTTCAACTCTTTTTTTGTTGCTGTTGTACTCGTTCTTCACGCTTGCTACACTTTCTCTTTTTTGTTGTTTTTTTTTTTAAATTTTATTTTGTTTGTTTGTGGATTTTAATTTGCACTAACGAATTTGTATGTGGGTGAACTTTCACATTTCACCAGGCCAGAGCGAGATGGCAGACACGTTTCTGGTCACGTTTCACAGATCAACGGATCAGGCTTTAGGCCAAAGACTGGGCCAAAAACGTTGTCAAAGTTGGTAGGCGCTAATTGAGTGAAGTGTTTCCAAGGGGGCTTAGATGCACGTAAAGTGAAGGCTCGTAAATGTGAGCTGTCAGCAATCTGACTTAGACGTTTAAAAGCAAAGGATTTCAAAGCAGGCTCAATTTTTAAGCCTCTACTGTATAAGTACCGCTCCCTCCCAATTTTGAAGCCTCTACTGTGTCACAACTACACTCTTTCTGTGCCACTCCTTCCTTCACTCTCCTGAACTTACTCAAATTAGACTTGCAATTGCTACTCCATTTCTCTCTCTCTCGCTCTCTTTGTCTTCCTCACTCTTGTTGGAAAGTCAGCTGCTTCTTTCGATTACTGTTAATTTACTATACGCCTTAAAATAATCATTAATCAAATTAATTGATTGCTTTGTGCTGATTAGCAAACACATTTGGGCCTTTTAAGCTATTCATTTTGTCCAAAATAAATGCCTGGCCAACTTTTCAATGTCAATGCAATTTCTACAATTTCACTCAATTGCCACAAATAACTGGCACACTAAACAAAATCAGTAACAAAAGTGAAACAGCAACAGCAACAACAACAGCAGCAGCAGCAGCGTCGGCAACAAACAAACACCAAACTAGGTGCTTGGCAGATTTTTCACTACTTTTTCCAGCAGCCGAGAAATCGCTTGACTGACTGAATGACCCAGTTGGCAGGCAGCGAAATTCAGGTCAAACGAAATGGAAAATGAACGCAGCTGCGACTGCGCGTAGAAATTAGAGCGAGCGAGCGCGCACGCCTGCGCCAATAGTAACAGCAACAGCCACAGTAACATCAGCAGCGGCGGCTGCGACGCCTGCGTCAACTTTCGACGCTGCAAAGTTGGTCAAACATGAAGAGAGGCAATAGCAACTACAACAACAGCAGCAGCAGCTTTCGTTGTTTGCTGCTGTTGCTGTTGTTGCTTTTTAGAAAATAGCAAAAGTCGCACAAGTGGGCAGAGCCGACTGCGTTGCTGCTAAAGTTTCATTTCAAGTTTAAAGCTCTTCCGCGGCCGCACAAACCAAAAACACCAACAACAACAAACACAAACAACAACAAAAAGTCATTATTGTGTGCGTTTAAAAACGAGGTCAACACTTCAATGGCGCTTAAAGAGTTAGTTGTTGTTTGACAGCAGCAAAAGAAAAAAACAAAATGTAAACAAAACGAAAAAGCAAATCAAAGTCAAATGTTTTTTTTTTTTGGTGGTGGGTTAAGCATGCATTCCGTTGCTGCTGGGTAGTCAGATCTGCATTTCGAAGTAAAAGCTTTGATTGGAAATTGAAAGCGAATTTGTGTCATGTTGCGGCGAAATGATTTGGAGTTGACTTTTACAGTATGAGTGTATGAGTGTGAGTCCGTGAGTTTGTTTCTTAGTGTTAGTTGCTCAACTTACGCGCATTGTGATAGTTCACGTTGCCTTTGAGTATGCCTTTCAATATAGGAAGTTCTTCGCCCATTTTTGTGCGAGTGTGTGTGTGGGTGTTTGTGTGTGTGAGAGTTATGTTTGGGTTTTGCTTTTGATTTGTTTTGGTTATTCTCACTAAGAGATTCGAGATTCTCTGGTTTGCTGCACACTGGGGCGCATTTAATTTCTATTTGGAATATTCATTAAAATTTCCTTTTGCTTTCTTTTGGCACACACAATTTTTGGTTAAGTATTTTCCCTTTTTCTTTAGGGATAACAAATTTGTTATTGAACTTTATTTTTGTTTTATTTTCTTTCTTCTTTTCAGGTACTCCACAGGTAATTGCAAAAATATTTCTGTTTTCTTTGTAATGTAAAATTTTCTTTAGATATTTGCACTAATTCTGTTTAAACATATATATTTAATTTAATTTAATTTTTTTTTTGTATTTTGTATTTTTGCAGGAACTTTCTTTGCTTTTCTTTTCAACTTTTTGTTGTAACAATAATTTTTGGAATTTCTTTCGCTGAACTTTGCAGCACTTTTTGGGTTAAACTTTTTGTTTTTATTTGATATTTTACCGCGTAATCCAAAAATGCGTTTCGGGTTCTGAGATTTGAGACAGGTCGACTTTTCTTCACATTAACAGAGGATTTAAATATATTTATTTATTGTGTATTTATATATATTGAATTAGTTATAATTGTTAAGAAGAACGTTGACTCAAACACAAAACACACATGAAATGTTGATTGAGTGTATTTTTATTGAAATATTTCGCTAACATGACAAAACTCGACAAGGTCTCGAACGCGACTAACTGTAAAAAGCAAAGCACGTTACGAATATACCCAAAGGTAGCTGCGAGACTGAGACCGAGACTGAGTCGAGCAACAACAGAAACAGAAACGGCAAAAGCAACTGAAAAAAGCCGCCACCGTCGCAGCACACAACGGCGGCAGAGCCAACGACCAAAGCAGCGGTAAAGAGAGCGCTCCCAATGCGAAAGCGAACGCGAGCACGACTCAGAGCGGCAGAGAGCTAACTCACGCAAGAGCGAGCAAAGCTCACTGAGCAGTTGGCAGGGGCCAACAAACCAGAAAAGAACAACAACAATATCGACAACAACTGCTGCAAGCGTTAATTTGTGATAAGCGAATTAGTCATAGAAAGAAATTTACACGGAAAGAAATGAATTTATAATACCTTAACAAATAGCTCATTTATACATATTTAAGACACGAATATTTAATAATAAATCAAAATAATATCATTTGTCATTTGAAACATTTCAATATTAATTTAAGTCGCAGTTGGTTGCAAGTTCAAGCACTGATAAGCTTCGAGCATTGATAAGCTTGCCTGCCACAAGCAAGCTCTGCGAGCAGCGCTTTATCTTTATCTCAATATCTTCAACGACGAAAGTTCAATGCTCGTGGCGCCAAAAACAAAAATAACAAATAAACCCTAGCATAGTTAAGAGAGCAGCAAAACTTTTGCGTTCCCTCTCTCTCTCTATCTCTTACAAGCTCTCATTGGCGCATGCTCTTAAATGTGCACCGAGCTTTTCAACACACCGTGTTGAGTTTCATGACAAGCTAAGAGAGCACAAAGCTTTTAGCGAGCTTTTTTGCAACACATGCTAGCTTGGCGCCATGCAACGGCAGCAGATCACGCATACGCCCAGTCACCCATAGCAGCGACTGCGAGCCGTTAAAAATGCAATTTTTGTCATTAAACGCTCGCTTTTCAGATTTATGACTGGCCCCGTCTGGAAGCCCTCAGCGTTTTGAGGGTTGCGTGTGCGAGTGTAAAACATGGAGTCACGTAGCAAGTTGAACTAATTTAAATGGGAAAAAAATCATATCTTTGTTTCCATTGAGGTCAACTGCAGTGACTCAGCCAGTTCGATTCTGCGATTATTCAAATTAAACGCAAACTAATGCGACGGAAGCAAACAGCTTCCATCTGCTAACGCATTTCGCACAACTAGCATAAAAAGAAGAGGGAGATGAAGAGGAAGAAGGAGTCATAAAAGCGACGGTCATTGAACTGCAGCCACAAAATGGGGCCAAAAAAAAAAAACGAACAAACAATGACGACAACCAAAAGCCAAACAAACAACATCAACAAAAAAACAAAAGAAAAATAAAAAAATTAATAATATGAGCGAATCGAAGCGTCGCTTTTTTGTTGTTATTGTTGCTGTTGCCCGAACGTCATTGCCTCATTTCGTATTTTTTGTTTTTTTTTTACGCATATTTCTCAGCCACGAAAGTAAAAGTGAAAGTTTCTTTTTCGGGGTAGAAATTTTGGACGTGTTTCGTAGCAGCCAAAAGCGAAATTAAGCAACTTGGCCATTCGTTTAGGCCTACAAAATGAGGGGGGAGACCAGCAACTGAAATTGTGTAAGCGGCAAGAGACAAGAGCCAAGAGACAAGAAAATAAACTGGAATATGCCAGCAAAATGTTTGTAACTGAATAAACATTTAAAATTATATATCGATACATATATATATATATATATATTTAGTTAAGGTAATTTAAGCTTTAAGTTAAGTTGGTAAACCAACTTATATAAATATATATGAATGATTTGAAATTCGAATTTAAGTTGCTTGAAATTTGAATAAAAATTATTATTTTATATTTATCTAAATTTAATTTGTCTTTTTTTTTAAATTAAACTTTTGTATTTAATTTGGATTGAATTAAAAATTTTACGATATACAAACAAAATATATATATATATATATATATATATAAATATCCGAAATATATTAAAATATAATAAAAATTAAAATTAAAAAAAATATATAATTAACAAATTTATTTAAAATAAATAAAAATTAAATAAATAAATAAAACAATTTTAATTTTTTTATATTTCAATTAATTTTGTTTAAGATATTTATATATTTTTATATATTTATATATATTTTGTTATTTTTTATTTGTTAATTTTTATATTGCATTATCTTTATATATATATATATTGATAAAATAATAAAAGCATTTTTATGACTTGTTAGCTTAAATATTTTAATATTTTTAAATATATATATAATTGATTATAATTAAAATAA